AAGTTTCTAAAATTTTAAATTTTAAATCATGCACACGTATTTTTGATAGAAGTAAAACTACTTGAGCATAAAAGTCAAACATACATCAGCTTAAAAATCCTTAAATGACATCTCAAAAAACAGAATGGGTTATTGTTTTTAATATCATTCCAAAAAAAAAAATTCAATAGAAAGTGAGGCAAATGCTTTCCTCCTTTTAACTGGTAGTATAAAAAAAATCACAAGAAGTCTCATTATTTAACATACTTTGTATATTTAAGTACATTTTCATTTTAAATAAATGTTTAAAGATATACTATAAATTTTAACTATAATAAAAAATGGCGATAATAAATATGAGATGAAGTTTCTTTAGGAATTATGTAAGAAATGCTACTTTTTTTCTTTTTAAAAATGTTTACTATCAGAAAGTGTTGATAAGGTTAAGCAACAGAGCAAAAAAGAATTTTTTGTTGTTAACACTATTACAGGTTTCCCCCATTTCCCCCTTGTGCCCACCTCCACCCCACCTCCACCCACGCCCCTCCCCTGGCCCTCACCACACTATTTTCTGTTTCCATGAGCTCTGCATATGTGTTCTTTAACTAATTTCTTCCCTTTTAAGTAGGATCCCTGTGATTCCCCAGTAAAGAAAACAAATAAAAATGTAGCAATAAGAGTGTCAGTTGTATGAGAAGCAGGAGTTACAGATTTCAAAACAACATCCTATAGGAGACTATGGATAATACACGCGGTACTTTTACAGGTGTAAATATTTATATCTCTTCTAAGGCGATTACTTTATTCATATCACCTACACTGAATAGTCTTTTCTCATGATTCACTGCTGTTTAAAACAAAATAATTTGCCAATGGATGAACCACTTACAATATCTGTCTTGTTGTTACTATTTAATATTCATAAATGATAAATCCCAGGTTTGGGGAACACTAACCATCTCTCCTACACTGCTGACCGTACACAATTTGACGGTAAAATCCTACCTAGTCTTTCCATGGTGTGCAGCAGCCTTGTTAGTGCTGTCACTGAGTCATCTTCAGAACTCCTCTTCTGGTCACGCAGTCTTTGTCAGAGGATGCAAATTTCACAGACCGCCCCCCGCCCCCCGCCCCAGCAACTGGGCTCTGTGCAGGACACACTTATGGCCTCTGTAGGGAATGTGACCTACTCTTGCTGACAGTAGGTATTTGAAGAAATCCTATTCTGACTTGTGGGGAGCATGCAGTTTATCCATTTTAAGAGTTTCCTGGAGATGTCATTTTAAATTTTCTTCCCTATTTTGATTTTTTCTTTTAATTGACATGTTATGTCTTCATGTAACTTTATGATATACAGTATAAGTAAATAAATGTGTCTTGCTCTAAATTCAAGGACAATGTTATCCATTGTAAAACTCTGGTGTATAAAAATGGAGGAATCATTAACACTTTATTCTACATAAATGCTGCACCCTAGAGCACAGCTCTATACATACAAAACATGCAGATTACAGTGTATGTGGTACTTTTGCAGTTCAACCATGAGGGCAGCCAGCCCTGGTCAAGAACTGTTCATTCTTATATAATCTTCAACAGTGTCATACACTTTCAAGACTCTGAATTAGGACTAAAATTTCATTATTAAATCTTATCCTCCTTTTATAGCACACATGATATAATAGTAAGTATATATTGTTTGATTCATTAAATATTTCAAAGACATCAATGTCTTTGAGTTGATGTGATATGCCTTCGTGTATGTTATCTAGTAATTCCAAATCATACTTGGAAACCAATTTCACCTCTGCTGGAATAAGATGAGACAATCCCTAAAAGAGGAAATAGATCCTCTGATTAGTCATCGGTCTTTATGGGCCTGGGCAAAATGATTCATCTCCTTGTATTTCATTTTCTCTGTATATACAGTGGGGACCAAAGTGCCAGACCCAAATCTGGCCAACATAAGACAATTATGTGAAGTGTCTTCTGATCTCTTCCTTAGTGCAGATAAACATAGATGATTGCCACCCATAGTGGGATTTTGTTCATTGTTATTTTCCCAGCATGTTGCTGAAAACAGGAGAGTTTTCAGTAAGTGTGAGGGTTTTTGTGGTAAGAGCCTGTCTGCCTTGCACGTATCTGGGCCCTGTCGTGCTTACTCTTAGCTAACACAGCAATGTATGCTAATAAGCACTCATTCGACACACATGCTGCTCAGATAGTCAAGAAACAAGGTTTATGATTACATGATAAAAAATTACCATCTTTTTTCAGTCCAGCATATGTTCTAGAGTTTTTGTGCTAGTCAACTCTTACACATCATTTTCACAATCAACCAAAATGAAGGGGGAATTTAATTCTTAATCTTCTCCTGTTAAGTACTCTTATTTATTCACTGCTTGTCCATTAAAATAACATTTTCATGAAAGCAGTCTTTTAAAAATCTAATAATGCATATGCTCTAAAGTGATTAAATTATGGATTCCAATATTCTCAGATGATAGAATATTTACTTATCACACAGAATGTTTCAGCTTTATTTTAAACTGAGTTTCTCTCAGAGTCTGCAATGCTCAAGAGAAAGCCTAAACACATACATTACGTAACTTTACCAAGTTAACAAAAACCAAATAGACACTTTTAAATATCAGAAGTGGTCTAACCAAATAACATACTTTACACGAAGACTGCAAGAATTCAACACAGAGTTAAAACCTTTGTAATACAATGATGTAAATAAATTCTACTTTTACATGGCTATTTGTATATTTATTCTACTTAAGACCTATGACATAAAACTTTGAGACATACAATCTGAACTTCTTCATGCTAATATGAAGACAAAAACATAGAAATCACAACACAACAGTTTATCCAATAATTTAGAAAGCCAGGGTGAAACTGATTTACTGAGTTCTGTTTAATCAAACACATGCCATACTAGGATGCCAGCGCAGCACAGCAAAGGGGACAACACAAGGATGTCATTTTGCATTGTTGTCCAGCAGTCCTGTCCAGAGATTCCAAGACAGCTCCAGGACAGTTCACAGTAGGGGGCGACATGGTAAACAGATGGATCGCTCAGCTCTCCCCATCTATGTACAGAGGATGTCAAAGTATAGCTACTGAGTTTCTGTAGACAGATGAGGTTTCAAGTCTAGATGATCACAGCTGGCCACTTTACTCTCGGTTCATCACTTTGGGTGATGTAGCAGTTACTCTAAGCTTAAAACTTTAATTTTTTAAAATTACTGAGGATTCATAAAAGAACTTTAGAGTTAAAGAAAGTCAATAATATGTTTCCAAGAAATTTGAGAGCTACTAAAATGAATTCCAAGAGGCCTCTGAGGCCCACTAGCAGAGGATTGTTCAAATGCCATGATGGTCATCATTTGAAATGGATTGAAAATAGAAAAATGTATTTTGAATAACATTATTATTGGTCACCCAAGGTAGATTTTTAAATTTACATTTTCTAAACTTATGGCTATGCATCATCCCATTGTTCCTAATAACTTTGAGAGCTAAAAAGCAATTTTCATTTACCAAAATCAAAGAGGGAGTCTGCATACCCCTACCCAAGGGAGAATTTTTCCCTTCCACATATTTTCAAAAATATATTTTGAACATAAAGAATACAGAAATTGATTAATGCCCATCAAACCAAGTAAACAACACCTGCTGGTGACACTAAATTCTTTCTTACACTTAACACTAAGCCATAGGAAATAAATATTTGTAGAAATTCTCATTCTTGTTTTGAATTTATCCCAAAGAAAAAAATTACCTTTTAAAAAACTGTAATTAATGACCATAATCTCAGATGCAAACTGCATTTGGTTGGGCAAACCCAAGTGTCAACACTCCACATAAGTGGAGATAAAATAAAGATAGTTGGGTTGCTGGCAGTACTTCCTTGTGTGCAGTACCCCAGAACCACGTGTTTACCAGGTTTACCTGACTACCAGGCGCTATCTGGAACTAAGGAATAAAGCATATGTAATCCATAGCTCCCACAGGAAAGAAATTCAGTAGAGAGAAATGTGAGGACCATCACTGCGTCTTCCCGGCTCTCCCTAAGGCGAATGGGATGAAGAACACAAGGAAAGGGGAACAAGAACAAATACACATTTATTATCTCATTTCCTCTTCACAGAAATTTATGAGGTTGGGACATTATATATTTATAAAGTTCTCAGTCCTGAAAAACAATACACAAGAAATTGCAACAAACTGGGCCAACTTTTAGGAGAGGTCCACGAGGACAAAGGGGCGTGAGGGGATGGAGTCCTCCGTACAAAGAAGCGATAATTACTAAGCAGGAAGTTTAAGAAGCAAGTTAGCAGGCGCTTGATCCATTTTAGAACGCTCCGCGCTGGACAGCTGGCTCCGCAAGAGGGCGCCGACGACCGCTCTCCCGGGCAAATCAGGCTCCGGGCATTTCCTGAGCGGAGTCAGCAAGTCCCCAGAGATTGAGCTCTGGACTATTTTCAGGTGACAGTAGGGGTAAGTAAGGGTAAAGGCAAAGAAAGAAGGAGCTGGATCAGGAAGGGGGATTATTAGTAGTTTTACCACTAATATAAAGAGTCACAGCCAAGCTCCAGCCTCCTCCACCCCACGCCTTCTGCACACACACACACACACACACACACACACACACACACACACCACACCCCCCACGCCGGGTTACGCACAATTTGGTAGGGGGAGGGAAGAGTCGGGGAAAGAGAAAAGTTCCCAGCAATTCTGTGGTGCCCTTTGGCATTACAAAGCGATCACGTGCGCTCTCGACTTCAATGGTCCTCACACTGGGTGTGCTCCAGCATCACCCGGAGGGCCTGCAAATTCAAAATTGCTGGCGCAACCACAGTGCGTCCGATGTACGAGGTCTGAGACCGATCTCCAGAATTTGGATCTCTAGCAAGTTGGGGGCTGGGGGAAAGGGTGAAAGATTGCCTGTCAGGGACAGCGCCCTGAGCGCCGTAGGACTGTCTGTGCCGAGATGGGGGCGCAGAGGGCATTCAAGCTGTGGTGCGGCAACCCAGCAGCTGGCGGAGGCTCCTGCGGAAGCTGTCGTCCAGGAAGGCGTAGAGGAAGGGGTTGAGGCAGCTGTTGGCGTAGCTCAGGCTGGTGATGAAGTAGGAGACCGCGATGACAAGCGGCGTCTGCGGGAGGTCGGTGGTGAGCGCCACTACGGTACTCAGGTGGTAGGGCGTCCAGCAGAAGAGGCACACAGCCAGGATCGCCACCACCAAAAGAGTCACCCGTTTCTTAGCCCGGTCCAGGGCCTTGGCATGACTGTCGAGGCGTATGGCACGAAGCCGGCACAGCAGGGTGATATAGAGGATACAGATAGTAGATACCGGGATGGCGAAGCCGAGCACGAGAGTGTAGAGGCGGCTCGCCCGCCACCAGAAAGCCTCGGGTTGGGGGAAGACCAGCACGCACTGACGCCGGCCCTGCTCCTCATCCAGCTGGGCGAAGATCGCGAAGGGCAGCACCACCAGCGTCACAAGCCCCCACACAGCCAGGCTTACAGCGCGCGCGGCGCCGTAGGTGCGGCCCGCCACCCGGCGCGACTCCGCGGTGGCCAGCACCACCAGATAGCGGTCTGCGCTCATGACCGTAAGGAAATAGAGGCTAGAGAAGGTGTTGTACTGGTCAATAGCCACGATCAGTTTGCACATGAGCTCCCCGAAAGGCCACTGTCGCAGCAGAAAATCGGCAATATTAATGGGCAGCACGAGCGTGAAGAGCTCGTCGGCAATGGCCAGGTTGAGGATAAAAAGGTTAGTGACATTCTTTTTGCGGGGCGTCCGCAGCAGCACGTACAGCACCGCAGAGTTGCCCGTCAGCCCCACCACGCAGATCACCGCGTAGGCAACTGGTACGGCCACGGCCAGCGGCTGCGGCGGCAGCGGCGGCGGGCTCGACGCGTTGGGGCAGCCCAGCGCGAGGCCGGGGCACGAGGTGTTGGAGGGCTCCCGCTCCGAGGACGACGCGTTGTGCATCTTGGCAAGGGGAGGGGTGCGGTCGATTCCGTATTAAACACCGCTGCCCTGCGGGGCTCCAACCCCTTCTCCGGCTCTTCCGGAGAGACGCGTTCCTGGCCGCCCTCTTAGTCCACTGTCGCCGCGGATTTCGGGTACTGCAAAGCCGGGAAAAAAGAAAAACAAAAACAAAAACCCCACAGGTTAGGCTCATCGATGTGTAACTTTAGGTAGAGGGTACAGGACTAGGCGGCAGGAGGCCGTGACCCAAACCTGCCCCCCGAGATCGCTCTCTGCCACCTGTTGAAATCTAGTTCTAACCAGTTCAATACATGAAAGGAAGTGATAGAGCGAAAAGAATCCTTTCTTTTTATAGGAAAAATACAAAACCATCTCCCCAATTTTATGACACCCCTGGCAGACCCGGGTCACCCCAGCGAATGCTGCAATGGCAAGCAAGGTTCGGTCCGCTAGCTCCCATGCTCTCTCCGTAACTGCAAGCTCAACCACAACCTCGATCTCACCTGGCTGGGGGTCTGCAGTTTCTGGAGCGGTCAGGAGAGGAGGCCACCGGCTGCCTGGGAGGCGGCGGAGCCCGCCCGCTGCGCGTCAGCCTCCCAGCGAGTGCCTCCGCGGGTCCCGCGGATGCGCTTGGAAGCCTAGGTGGGGATGGCGCAGCCGCAACTGCGCTCCGCTGACCCGCCCGTCAGCCCCCACCATCCCAAGCCCAGGGAAACAGCAGTGGAAGAGCATTACTCAAAAATTACGAAATTCTTTTTCCCGTGGTGTGGCCTCATCACATTTGAATTAATGAAAAGCTCTCCTGATAATTAAATTTAAGAAAACCAAAGTTAGTGTGTTGTAAAAGAACAATGCAGTTAATGCTTCCATTATTTTTTTAAAATAAATTTTACTTATTGATAAGCGAGAGGGGGAGAGAGAGAGAGAGAGATCAGTTTTGTTGTTCAACTTATTCCTGCATTCATTGGTTGATTCTTGTATGTGCCTTTACGGGGATCCAATCGGAAACCAGGGGGCATCAGGATGACGCTCCAACCAACGGAGCTACCCGGCCAGATCTATTCCGTTTTTTAAAAGCCATAATCGCAAATAGGCTAATGTAATGTTAAATTTCAAATTACATTAATACTATATTGCTATACAGAAAAGAAAACGCAGTTTTAAAATGCCAATTACCTGTTTTCAAATATCTTTACAAAATTACAAGACTGTTAGTAACAAATAATGGTCGACAATTTGAGATACTTTAGGCTTTCTAAAAACATGTGAAAGTAATGACTTTATTAAAAAAGGCAAACTGGTTCTCATAGCCTTTTAGGGGCGTTTCATAAAATGTTGCAAGTTGTTCAAGCACAGTGTTGAATCTCCCCCTAAAGAGAACTACCCTGCAGTCTTAGCGATATTGCCCAGGGAGGCAGCGCAGAGCCCCACCTGGGCTCCAACCGTTCTCTGAGGGGGCTTTGAGTTCTTACTCTCTGAGGTGGAACTCAAATGAGGACTGAAGGAAGTAAACTAAATACTAGTTCACTCCATTTCCTACTTTCTTCCTCCACCTTTCATTTGGATGAGTAAGCAAATTAGAACACAAAATTCTATACGGCTTTCCTCTATTTTACTTCCATAAGAGTAGGCAAATACCCAAATAAAGTGCATTTTTGATCCTTTGTGGTGCATTTTTAGATAAGAGGACCTGGGTTGCTGAGAGACTGGAGATAGCCAACAGAAGGAGCCTTTAGGGATGGAAATACAAACGCTTTTCTTTACCCACTCCCATTCAGATCTCTCAGCGAGGAGCTACCTAAATCTGGCTTCCCTGCAGTTTCATGCTTTGTGTGAAAATGACAGAAAAGTCTTAGGCTGTGTCCATGAGAAAAAAAATGTGTGACAAAACACCACATTATTTTAAATGAAACAAAAAGTACAATTATATATGTTATATAATTTAAACACATATCCATACACAATTATGTGTGTATATGTGTGCATATACATACATGTATATATAGTTGCCTACTTTTCATATATTTGGAAATTTTCTAGTTTTTTAATTAAGATTTCTAACTTAGCTACACTGTGGACAGAGAACATAGAATTCATTGGCTTTAGTTGAAACAATACCCAATATATTTTTCTAATTATTTAATGCATACTTGAAAAAAATGATTTAAATTTTTTATTTTTTTATTTTATTTTTTTAATTAATTTATTTACTTTTTAAATACATTTGTCTCTGCCTTCCCCCCACCTCTTTCCCTTGCCCTCTCCCACCCTCCCTCCCTCAGCTCTTCCCCTTTGGTTTTGTCCATGAGTCCTTGCTATATGTTCCTTGACTTTCCCCTTCCCTTCCCTTTCCCTGCCTCCCCTTCCCTCTTGTCTCTGTTGATTTCTTTTCCTTTCAGTGTTGCTGGTCATATTTTCCTTGCTTCTTTAAATTTTTTAATTGCATAACTCTACATATGTCAACTAGTCAAATATATTATTTACTTAAATCTTCTCTATGTTAGTATTTTTATCTCATTGTTTTATGAGTTATTGACAAAGATGTGTTAAAAGGGTCAAGGTGGATTTCTTCAGTTATATTTTTAATTCTGTCAACTTTACTACTACATAATTGGGTACTGTTTTATTAGGTACACACAAACTTAATATTGTTATATTTTCCTGTGGAATGGACTCTTGTATCATTATCAAATATCCTTCTTCTTCTTTTTTTTTTAGCAGCTAGACTCAAGTTTATTAAACAGGTATAGCAACTATAGTAAAAATTTTCCTTTGTCTCTGCAAAGCCAATATATTTTTGTACAAACAAGACGATACTAGATATTGAGTTAAGGCTTTGAAAACATAGCCTTATGTTTTCAAAATACAAAACAAAACATCATAATTTTAAAAGTTTCATAAAAGTGGGGATAAAATTCCCATTTCCCCTTTCCCCTACCCCCCCCCCCCGCCCCAGTAAAAGGGTCTTCCACTCAGGCGTGGGTGGCACAGTAAGGAACCAGAATGGCCCCTAATGGCCTGCCCAGCTCCATCCCAACTCTGAGGTATCAAAGGAGTTCCAAGTGCAAGTTGAAGAGTTGAACAAGCAACCCCCCTTCTCATTAAATGGCAATTAAATGGGAATTCAGGAAGCAGAGGTCAGAGCAGGGTGCCTCTGCATAGTTTGGAAGGATTGAACAGTCAGACTACTAAAAGCACATGGATGCTACATCAGGTGAATGAGTGTGGGGCCTGGATCATGACTCCCCTTGCCACACACGACAAAGAGGAATAGCAATAGTGACGGGGGTAGGGCCTTCTGCATTCCCGGCCGGTGCTGAGGGCATGCCCAGGGTTCCTGGTGGGCATTTGCTGTTTGTATAGCTCTCCTCACCTGTGGACCCAATTTCAGGCTGATGGAGTCATTAATTCACTTAGAATGCACACGGAAGACCTCTGCCTGGTTGTGAACAGTTGTTTCTCAGTGGTCATGGGTACCAAGCCCGAAGAGAAGGGATGAGCCCGAAGAGAAAGGATGAGCCCGAAGAGAAGGGATGAGCCCGGAGAGCTCTCATCACGTCCACGTGCTTGTGGAGAAGAGGACTGACACTGCTGTGTCGGCAGGAGCTCAGGGCGGGCCAGCCGTTCTCCCATTCCTTCCTTGGAGACTTGACTGGTTTTGTGTCCTGAGTCCATTCTTACACCCTGGCTGAGACACAGAGCAGGCACTGGATACTCACACACTCAGGGACAAGGGGGTCATGCCTATTTGGCATGGTGCCAGCCAGACACACCCCATAGAATGCCAGGGCTGTGCCTTTGACCCAAGTCTGCACTGAGAAACTTTCATTTAGAATTTCAAAATACTAGAATTGGGAGGAAATGTGACCATCAATCAATCCAGTTCCTTCATTTGAAAACGAGGAAACTAAGACTCTAAAAGTGTCTGGGATTCTGAGTCCAGTGCTTAGACCATTTAAATGTGGCAGTGCCTGTCATGGGGCCTGTTGAGGTCCAGTTGGTTCAGCTTCAGGACCTGTCACTCACAGAATACCCTGCCTCGTGAGAGGACACAGAGCCTGGCACTTGTTTATATGTTCCTGGAAACCTAGAGATATTTGTATAATACTCAGAATTTAAAGAAACAGAAGAAAGAAAAAGGCCAGATTCTCTTCTTAAGAGGGCAGAACATATTAGAAAATATATAAAGGTAAAAATAAGTAACCCATGTTCCCTCCCTCTGACCGTATAATAGTCTGAGGAGGAAGGGGCCTGGTAGCTAGGAATGTTCCTGCAAAGAGGCCTGGAGGCCTTAGACAGAGCATTCCTACACATTCCCCTGGGATGTGAGGAGCAGCGATTCACTCAGGGGTCAACTCTCAGGGACAAGGATTCATCCCCTGACGAGAAAGTGTGGCATGCAGACACATTCCTGAGACAGCAGTCACAGGGACGCAGGGCAGCATGGGTGCCCAGTGTTGGGTAAGGGGCGGGGAGCCTTCTCTCCCCCAGCCTGAGTCAGAGACAGTACCAAGGAAGTGATTCTATCTCATCTGCTGAACTCGTTTCTGCTCCACCGCCATTTCCACAGGGAGACACAGTTGGAGAGCAGTAACTCTTCTGGGAACTGAGCCTCCATTTCAGGCAGAATGTCACTGTCTTTAGTTTCCATGTAAGTTACTAGAGTTTCCTTCAGGCTCCAGCTGGGGTTGAAATCCTGCTTGGTTTGGGGGTTCTTCAGCTTCAAAACCATCATTTCATGGAGCTCCAGGCGGAAGGTGTCCAAGCCGCCCTGGTTCAGGAATGTGTTCAGGAGCTTAGCACCTTCCGGGCTGAGCTCAACTCCGTACCTGGCACTGATCTCTCCAAACAGCTCCTGCAGTGAAGCATAAAATACCCTTCTTTAACTGGGTTATTACTGCTTGCTGTGTGTAGTATTCTTTCTTTGATATTATTACAGTTACACCAATAGTAGTTCCCTTAGTATTATCATGCAATATCTTTTGTTAAACTTTCTGCAT